AAATAGACTCAAAAGAGCTAGATCTGCTTCGCTTGTGGTGAACTGCCGAATTTGGTTTTCTCCGATGAGAAAACATTCGTTGTCCAGCTGTTTATAAACAAACAAAACGATCGTGTTTATTGCCAAAGAGGTCTGCTGAAAATGTGTACATTCGGTTGGCCACCAAAACTCAAGCGCCGGCCATGGTGATGGTGTGGGCGCCATAACAGCCGATTGTCGCTCTAAGCTCATATTAATCGATCGTGGCATCAGAATAAATGTCGAATATTATCACGAAAATATTTTGGAGGATGTATTAAAGCCTTAGGCACGCAAACATTTTGGCCGCAGATCTTGCACATTCCAGCAGGACTCAGCACCATCGCACTCAGCACACGCCACCCAAGAATGGTTACAAAATGAGGTTCCTCGCTTCATTTCCAGCGCACAATGACCACTAAATTCTCCGGATACTAATCCGTTGGACTGTTGTGTCTGGAGTATTTTGGAAAGCAAGGTTGGCACTAAAAAATACCAAAGTGTCGATCACCTTAAGCAAGCGCTTCGCCGGGAATGGGCCAAAATACCGCAGAGCAACATTCGGGTAGCGTGTGACGGTTTCATTGGCCACTTAAAGGCCATAATTCGTGCCAAAGGTGACCAATTTGAACAAATCTAAACTTATTCTGAAATTTGATGCTATTTCCGACAATTTTTGCTTTCATTCAATAAAAAACTTAATGAAATGACGTTTGACTTTGTTGCAATTTTTGATCTGACCCTGTAGAAGGAAAGATTTTGGTGCAAAATTACTTAATTATTTTTCGAATATCCTCTTCGTTAAAGGAAAAACTTGAATATAAAGAAGGTGTTATCGAACGAGACGAGCTCGTTTCAATTGACCGACGACAATATTGAAGCATTTGTTCTTGAGACACCCGCCGAAATGTTGGAAAGAGTATGCCGATATTGAACTAAACGGTTAAATTACGTTATAAAATTGTTGATTGATTAATTCTGAAGTTTTTCTTAAGTTTGGCTTAATTTCATGTTTTTTTAACGAAACTGACAGATTTGCAAAATTTGCTGCTCGCTACTAATATCTCCAATATCTGCTTAGTATGACAACTTTGGTGGAAAGCAAGTGAATGAGAATCACATTCACCTCTTGCCTTTCCCAAAATACATCATAACAAAATATTGCAAAGCTACCACCACATTTTCAAATATGAATTCACAGAGCTCTTTAAAAAATTTGTTATAAAACAAATTGCCACTATTCTGGTGTACTTCATATATTATTCGATACAAATTTCAGCAAGGTCTAGCACTTAAAAGTCCCAATCTGTATGGGTCAAAAAAAAAAAACAACTATGATATTAGAGTTCTTCAAAGTTGTGGTTTCAAAAATTTTGTATTTTTGTATTTTATCCACATGCGATCTCATTTTCATCAACTACCTTCTTTTTTTTAAAAAAAAGACCCTTTAAATATCCATTACTATGACCATTCTCATGATTCATTCTTTAACATATCAACCCAAAATATTAATATTTATTTGAAAACTATACAAAGTCTCGTCTCTACACAAAGGTGTGTGTGCAAACAAAAATACATATTTGCAATGAGTTGTTGTTTATTTTCATTTATATATTTTGTTGTTGTTGTTCCTCATTTCTGTCGGTTTCGAAAATGCATTAAGCAAACGCCAACAGCAAATTTTAGCACCAAAAGGCTAACTATTTCAAATACTTGAAATGCGTCTATTTTTTTTTTCTTGGTTGAAATTTTTGGCGACGCTATGCCATTAAAAAACCCCAATATCCACACACACACACACACTCACTCACTCAGCCATCGCCTCACAAACACGAATTAGATAAACAACATTAGTGTTGTTGCTGTTGTTTTTGAATTGCGAACACCGCCGCTGCCAAGCGCATCAAACCACGCGAACTTAATGGCATACGCGTATATTTTCCTGGCGCCACTTGCTAAATTTACGCAAATCGCTTGTAAAGAATTTAGACGCCTGCCTGTTGTTGTCATTGGGTTGCTTGCCTCATTCGTTTGTGTGGCTCGTTCGTTCGCTCGCTCTCTCATTTTCAGTTTGTTTTTCAAACCAACACTGCACTTGGTCAGCATGAGTACGAAGTAGGAAGACTTAATGAACGATGGATACTGAGTTTTTGGGAATTTCAGATTTCAAATGGGAAATGCAATCAATCTACTTTTAGGAGATTGTAAAAGCATGCCTATCTATCTTTATTTTTTGTTGATGAAACATTGTTGTTTTAATTGGGGTTTGTTGTTGTTTCTTTTTTTTGCATTTATTGATAATTATTAATTTAATAATGGCATTTCGAATTCAATATTTTGATGATTGATTTTGGTTGCGTGATCTTTGTCACATATCAGAAAATATTGGTATTCTCTCTCTTTCCCACTATCAGAGAGAGAGGAGAGAGAGTACCAGTTCAATTGAAATGCGTAAACGCAGTCAATTCAGAGAAAAATGATTTTCAAGAGAGTGAGTCATGAATTCTTGTTGATGAGTAGAGAGAAGAAGAACCCTGGTTAAAAACATTCCGTTGATGGATATGTTAAAGGTCTTTAATCGATATCAGATGAACATTAACACTATTTTCAGTGGACATTTTAGGGATTTTTCATTTACAGTTTTGTGTCGATAGGAGTCATGGTAAAGGTCTTCCATTGGTATTGTTTTTTTTTTTTTGAATCGATAGAAGACCTGTTAAATGATTTTCTTTATAGGAGGCCTATTAAAAGTCTTCATTATATAGGAGATAAAGGGTGAGATGAAAAAACTGCAACCAATTTCAGACTGCAGGCATTTCTAAGCCACTCGTCCGACAGCTGTTAAAACTATTCCAGTGACAGCTCATTATATTGTTTACAAGCGTACAAAAGCATTTTGGTGAGAATTTTCCAGAAAAAAAAAGTTATTTGTGATGAAATTCAAGCGTGATAGTGAGATTTCTTTATATTTGGCTGGAAAACCACAAGTGTCTATCGTTAGAGCACTCCAGCATTTGAATGTGAATACACTTTTCGGGTCTCGTACCATCGCTCGTTAGCGATACTGGTAGCGTAGACCGACGTCAAGGATGTGGACGGAAGAAAACAACAACATTAGCAGAAATGGTTCGAAAAATAAAGAAGCAACTTGATCGAAACCCGAAAAATGGCTCGTGAGCTGAACATATCACAATATTCCATTCGGCAAAAAATGAAAAAATGAGCTCGGGGTAAAGCCATTGAAATTCCAAAAAGTGCAAGAACTTACACCACAACGGAAAGAAAATAGACTCAAAAGAGCTAAAGAGTTTCTTCGCTTGGCCGAAAGTGGTGAACTGCCGAATTTGGTTTTCTCCGATGAGAAAACATTCGTTGTCCGGCAGTTTGTAAATATAGTAAACAAACAAAATGATCGTGTTCATTTGCCAAAGAGGTCAGCTGAAAATGTACACCTTCGGTTGGCCACTAGAACTCAGGCGCAGGTCATGGTGATGGTGTGGGCCGCTATAACAGCCGATGGTCGCTCTCCGCTCGTATTAATCGACCGTGGCATCAGAATAAATGCCGAATATTATCGCGAAAATATTCTGGAGGGTGTATTAAAGCTTTAGGCACGCAAACATTTTGGCCACAGACCTTGGACATTTCAACAGGACTCAGCACCATCGCACCCAACAATGGTTACAAAATGAGGTTCCTCGCTTCATTTCCAGTGCACAATGGCCACCAAAATCCTCGGATACCAATCCGTTGGACTATTGTGTCTGGAGTATTTTGGAATGCAAGGTTGGCACTAAAAAATACCAAAGGGTCGATCGCCTCAAGCAAGCGCTTCACCGGGAATGGGCCAAAATACTGCAGAGCAACATTCGGGCAGCTTGTGACGGTTTCATTGCCAGTTTGAAGGCCATAATTCCTGTCAAAGGTTACCAATTCGAAAAAATCTAAACCTATTCTAAAATTTTATGCTATTTCCGATATTTTTTGCTTTCATTCAAAAAAATTGAGAAAAAAATGTAAAAATTATAGTGCTTGACTTTGTTGCAATTTTTTTTTATCTCACCGTGTATCAAAGGTATTTTATCTAAAGGAAACCTGTTAAAAATCTCCTATCTGAACGAGACCTTTTTTTATCGATAAGAAGCTTGTTAACGGCCTTTAATCTATGGCAGACCGGCGTCTTCTCTCGATAGGAGTTTTTTGAAAGGTCGTCTCTCTACATGAAACCTATTATCTCTAAGTGCATTGAAGAACTGGAAGAGTATGTGTTTCAAAAGAAGTTATTTTTCAATCTCTCGCTAGTATTCCTGTTGAGATTGGCTGTCAAAAATACACATACTTACAAATAAAACAACGGTACACAAATAAAACCTACAGAAGTACTCGACAAGAGTAGAATCTTCTCGATTTCGATCGAATTTTATTTCTTATTCTCGAATACGAACAATGTATACTCGCTCTTATTAGAGTAGTATAGTAAAATGGAGCATATTCCTTTTTTATATATCTACCTTTAGGAGAACTCTCGCTCAAAATTGAGTAGATGGGAGTAAAATTCACTCGAAAGCAAGTGGATTCTACTCTTGCATTTTGCAGTTCTGGTTAAAGCTCAAATAACTGTCAAAGGTCTCCTACCTTTACAATACCTAGTAAAGACCTTTCATATGGAAAATACGCGATCTTTACATATGGTAGACTGGTTAATAGGTCGTCTACCTAATAAAGAGTTCAATAAGTTTAAAGTACCTCTTCTACCCGAGAAAGTTCTGATAAATGTCTCATATCCACGGAAGAAAATTTCCACCAACTACAAGTAAAAAACCTCGACCATGAGTTAAATATAATGAATGATGCATACTTTTAGGCGTTGCATTAATTCATTTATCTAACGTCTATACATATTTGTTCAGTTAAGTAGTTAAATTTATAAATAAAGTTTTCCAAAAACTTTATAGGTTTGGTTTCTTTATTTTGTAACATACCTGTTTCGAGAATGCGACTCCAGTGCAAGGGATTGCAACACACATACACTGGGTCGCGTTCGTTTGGACATACGGGTAAGCGTTTCAGCTGTGAGGAATTGTTCAAATCTCGCCACAAAAACAGGCGACACACTATCACATACGGTTCTTCGCCGAGTATTTCGGCACGACGCATCAAGATGCAATTGGTTTGATATGTTGTCACGCTGTTGGACGAGCACGCTGCCGCCGTCGACGACTTTGTTGTGGGTTCGTGACGCGATTTCACAGCCTTTAACAAGCTGGTTATTTGACGGGCCTTGAGTTCTTTCATTAGAGCATCGAAATACGTTTTCGCCGACGTGGCCATGTTTTTCGAGTTTTCGTAGCTTTCCTTGTTGCAGGGCATGGTGGAATTGTTGTTGTTGTTGGCCACCGTCGTCGTTGTCATCGTTGTGGTGGGGTTCAGGCTGAAGGGATCGTGGTTGGTACTGCTTGTTGCGGTCACAATGGAATTGGAGGAACCAAAACCTCCGCCACAACAATTCCTGAGTATTTTTGCTGCGGTGGCAGCAAACGAAGTTGTTGCCGAGGTCAGGGTTGTTGCCGAATTGACAAGGGTCGTGGCAACGGGATTGAGGGAAATGTTCGTTTTCGATTGCGCACGCCTTGGTGTGGTCACTGTTCGCTCCACCATCCTGGATAGATCCTTCGTCAGATGAAAGGTACTGGTGCTGTTGGTGGAGGAGGTGGTGGTGTTGTTGCTGCTGCTGCTGCCTGAACTGATCTCGTTCAGTTTTTCGTACTCGTCGACGTGCATTATGTCGCCAGTATTTACGTAGCTGTAGCCACCTGGCCTCTGGCCGTAACCGGTTTCGGACTCGGTCGCCGACAGTGATGTTTCCGTTTCTCCGTCCGTTACATAGGCCTGCGGCTGGCGAAACGTTTGACAATAGTCTCGAGGATTCACACAGTCCATGTCCACGGCCGTGGCACTGTAGGGCGGCGGGGGTGTGCTCAGTTGCGGCCGCAGCGACATGGTGCTGGAGCTCTCGCCAGAGACATCGCAATAGAAGGTCTGCTGCCTCGACAGTGACCGCTCCGATGCGTGAGGGTGGTGTTGAGGTGGAAGGCGATGCGGCGGTGGTGGCTGTCTGGTCGTCCCACGTACAGGTGTTGTTAGGTTTTTTGACGCATAACGCCATAGTTCTTTCTTCTCGCTTTGAAATTTCATGGAGAGACATTAAATGTAGCGGTAACATCGATCTTATCCTATTTGCATTATTCGCCTTAACTAATTGGATTGGTTTTGTATTTCGATACGGGCGACGGTGGTGGTGGTGGTTGCGGGTGTCTGGAGTCGTATGTAGCCCGTTCCTTTTTCGTTTGCCGAACAAAATTTTTCTTTTTTTTTGGTTTGTTTGTTGGTTCTTGCTGTTAACAACCTTTTCACTTCAATGGTTGAACACTCAGTGAAGAGGGCAATTCCGCTTCCGCAAAAAATACGGAAAAATTTACTATCGCGTTTGTTTTCTTTTTTGTTTCGATTCCACGAACGAACGTAATGAGAGCAAGTTTTTGCAATTGAACTCTCTCGGGACTTGCTCTCTTTCCGATACAATTTTACCTCAATTCCGTAACGAGAGACGCGTTCGATTTCACGAATTAGCACTATAGCGGGGAGTAAAATACGACGATTCAACGAAATGTTTGCACTTTCTCAACAAACGAGAGAGAGAGAGAGCGCGCGCGCGATCACGATCGATTCGATACACAATAAATAATATTCCTGTAATTGAACGAAAAAAAAGAAGAAAAAATATAAAATCAACAAAAAAACAATTATCGTTTTTTGTGGAATTAAAACATAATTCAAAAATTGCTGCTAAAAAGTATCCAACTTAATTATTGAAATTACGAATTGATTGATAACTCATGGCGATCAATTTTCATAAAAAACTACCCAAAATTTAGAGTAGTGAAACAACTGAGTGATTGACCGAAAATCAAACCCCCCAACGAAACGGCTGAAGTTTGAATTTTAAAATTTTCCACGAGATTCAGTGATAAGGCTGATTTTTTCTTTTGAAAATTCGTATCAAAAGGGTACGAAAGATGCTGAAATGTACTAAAAACTGAATTTTTTGCAATGGACAGACGGCTAGAATTCTAGAATTTGAATTAAAATTTAATGATGAAGTGCAGGATACTTGCACCAAAGGATTTATGGACATTCGAAGTTAAAGGTTACGAAAAGTTCTAAAATGGTACTAAACTTCTAAAATGGTACCATTTGGAAATTTGGTATGGGAATCAAGGTTGGAATGTAAGTCAGTATATTATACAGGGTTGTCCATATTCGACGGACCCATCTGGCAATGCCATAACTTTTGACAGAGATGTCACATCGCTTAATGACATACCGCGTTTGAAGCGTCAGTCCAAGCAGATTTTTACCATGAACCAATACAGGCCACGCGAGCGCTCTGAAATTGTTGAAATTTACATTCAATTGTGAAAAAAAAAAATGTGAGAAGTGCGCCTTCTAAGAACGCCATTAAGCGTTTATACGAAAAATTTCGACTGGTCGAAATCATCGACCAAGGCGATCGGCCGAGAATATCGCTGTCGTACGAGCCAGTGTTGAGAGGTCCCCAAGAACATCCCAAAAACGCCGTTCTCAGCAGTTGGGCATGGCTTGGTCCACTTTACAACGGATTATTCGCATTGATTTGCATTTGTTCCCGTACAAAATTCAATTGACGCAAAGAATGTTGCCCGCCGGACAAGCCTCGTCGATTGGAAGGTCCGTCGAATATGGGCAACCCTGTATGAAGGTGATTTTGGAAATGTGTACGAAGAGTGCGGTACGGTACTAAATTTGGAACAGTTTGGCTTTGGGTGAACGGATGAAGCCAAAATTTTGATATTCTTAATTAGCGAGGGAGCTTTTGGGCTATGCGTTCTTGAAGTGGACGAAAAGTACTATATTTGGTACAATTTGGTAATGGGTAATTTGATATTTGGCATGAGGGTCGCTATTCTTGTGTAGTCTTGACTATGGAGGTGGCTTTCGGTGGCAATTGTATGAAAAGTACCAAGTGGTACTAAACTTTATCTTGGTTGAGGGGATAGTGATACAATTATGGAATTCGTTATTTAGATTACTGATGCTGTCTGCGTTTGAGATTTAGCAGTAATTTATAAATGCGTCCTATTTGTACAAAAAGTACTAAATGGTACGAGATTTGGTATTCCGTGAGGAGATACAGCTGGAATCCTCAAATTTGATATAGATCTCACTGTTGGTGTCCGTGGTTAAGATATAAAGCTGGTTTTCTGTAAATATGTACAATAATTGTACGAAAAGTTCTAAATAGTACTAAATATGCTATCGAATGTAAGAATAGAGCTAAAATACTGAAATGTGGTATTAAGGTCGCTGTTGCTATCTCGGTTTGAGATATGAAGGTGGTTTTGGAAATGTCTACTATAATTGTTCGAAAAGTACTAAGAGGTCGTTGTGGTGGTGGTGGTGGTTTTGCCAATGCATACTATAACTGTATAGGGTGAGATGAAATAACTGCGACCAACTTCAGACTGTTGTCTTTTCTAAGCCACTCGTCCGACAGCTGCTAAAATTATTCCAGCGACAGCTCATTATAGTGTTTACGTACAAAAGCATTTCGATGAGAATTTTCCAGAAAAAATGTTGTTCGTGATGGAATTCAAGCGTGATAGTGTGATTTCTATTTATTTGGCCGGAAAACCAGACGTGGCTATCGTTAGAGCACTCCAGCATTGAAATGTATATAAATTTTTTGTGTCCCGTACCATCGCTCGATATCGTGAAACGGAGGCGTAACCAGATATCAAGGAAGTGGACAGAAACATGAGCAGAAATGGTTCGAAAAGTAAAAAAGCAACTTGATAAAATTCTCGTCGCAGTGGCCTGAAAATGCCTCGTGAGCTGAACATATCGCAATATTCCATTCGGCAAATATTGAAAAATGAGCTGGGTGTAAAGCCATTGACATTCCAAAAAGTGCAAGAACTTACACCGCAACAGAAAGAAAATAGACTCAAAAGAGCTAAAGAGTTGCTTCGCTTGGCCGAAAGTGGTGAACTGCAGAATTTGGTTTTCTCTGATGAGAAAACTTTCGTTGTCCAGCAGTTTGTAAACAAACAAAATGACGTCAGCTAAAAATGTACACCTTCGGTTGGCCACCAGAACTCAAGCGCCGGCCATGGTGGTGATGAGGGCCGCCATAACAACCGATGGTCGCTCTTCGCTCATATTAATCGACCGTGGCATCAGAATACATGCCGAATATTATCGCGAAAATATCCTGGAGGGTGTATTAAAGCCTTGGAAACGCAAACATTTTGCCCGCAGACCTTGGACATTCCAACAGGACTCAGCACGATCACACTTAGCACGCGCCACCCAAGAATGTTTACAAAATGAGGTTCCTCGCTTCATTTCCAGCGCACAATGGCCATTAAAATCTTCGGATACAATCCGATTAAATATTAATTATTATATTTTGGAAAACAAGGTTGGCACTAAAAAATACCAAACTATCGATCACCTCAAGCAAGCGCTTCACCAGGAATAGGCCAAAATACCGCAGAGCAACATTCGGGCAGCGTTTGGCGTGGTTTCATTGGCCGTTTGAAGGCCATAATTCGTGCCAAATGTGACCAATTCGAACAATTCCAAACTTAATTTAAAATTTGATGCTATTTCCGGCATTTTTTGCTTCCATTCTATAAAATTAAAAAAAAAAACAAGTAAGCAAAGGCTATAGTCGTGCGGGGCCGACCATGTGATACCCTATATTTATATTCAGATCGATTTTGGAAGTTTTCTCTTTTGAAATTATGTCACGGAGCACTGACCTGACCAGGGATATTTGCCCAATAACGAAATCAGCATAAAAAAGCCAGAAGATCACCTTTTGTGTATATCGGATATCACCTGTAAGTAATGCTGGTATTTTTTCAAAGAAAAGTAGTGGTCCATTCTACTCGCTGTCCTAATCTCGAACTTCATGCGAGATTTTGTGTCCTTTGGTTTCAATTTGTGACCTTTATAACGGCTGCAAAATCAGGAACAATTTTAGTTGTTGGTCCATTTCAACCTCCAAATATATTGCGGACACCTTTAAAACCAATATGTCTATCCCTTCTGAGCCTCACACTACCCTTGTGAAAATTTTCGTAAGGATCGGATAATAATTGCAATCTGTATATAACCCCAACATGTGTTGTAAGGTGAAAAATATTACAAAATGTACACCTCAGTATTATAAGTCAAATGGAAAAAATCGCATGCGATAAAAAATATGAAAAAATAAAAGATTTAGATTTTATTCTTTTATGCCAGGAAGGCATTCAGAATTGACAAAATTTGTCAAAATCGGTCCAGCCATTCTTGAGATATAAGCATTTTAGCTAACATCCCCTTCCTTTGTTTATAGACATTGTATATATTTCGCTATATATATCCGATATATTTACTATCAGCATCTACGTAACGGTCAGAATTGACCTGTTCGTCTTTTTGTGATTTCGCCGGGTCTAAAAATATTCGCGGTTTAATGCAAAATTTGACTTTTATTTAACACAAATGTTATAGTCTTTTTTACCCACTAAATATTACCCGATGAACATCAAAATCGGAAGGCTTCTGCTCAGCCCTAAGCTTTAGCCCCATGCTAATTTCTCCGTCGATTGGTCCATAATTGCGACCTGTAGAGCAACGGCAAAATCAGGATTTTTTTCAGTTTTTGGTCCATTTCGAAATATTGTGCGATCATCTCCAAAATAAATAGGGTTCTATTCTGACCTTATCCCCACCTCCATTCTAAATTTCGTGAAGATCGGGCCATAATTGCGACCTGTAGAGTGATTACAAATTAACATGGACAGACGGACAGACGGACGGACATACATAGCTAGGTCGACTCAGCTCGGCGAGATAGGAAGATCCATATATACTTTCCTATGTGGGAAATCAATATTTCGAGGTGTTACATAATTTTTGGCCCAATCAAACTTATAATACCCCCAACACATAGTGTTGTAGGGTATAAAAATTAAAAATTATGGCGTTTGCCGTTGTTGCAGTCTTTTTTTTATCTCACCCTGTAATTGTACGAAAAGTTCTAAATAGTACTAAATATGGTATTGGGTGAAGGAATATAGCTAATATCCTGAAATGTGATATTGAGGTCTCTGTTGGTATCTGAGATATGGAGGTAGTCTTGGAAATGTCTACTATAATTGTTCGAAAAGTACTAAACGCTACAAAATGTGTTTGTGGTTGAGAGAAGGAGCTGATTTTATATAAGCGTACTATTATTGTACCAAATGGTACTAAATTTGTTAACGGGGGAAATTACAGAGCTGAAATTTGATATTAAGGTCACTGTTGGTATCTGAGGTGGAAATTTGATTGTTTTGAAAAAGAATACCATGATTATTCAAAAGGTACTCAATGCCACAAAATTTGGTATTGGGCGAAGGCATAGAAGTGAAATTCTGAAATTTGATATTGATGATTGAAATTGAGACTGTTCAAAAGAACATATTTTACTAACACATTTTTAATTTTGTTTTTATTATTATTTTATTCTATGTCAGCATATAACTGACCTATATAATTATTGTTTGCCTTATGCAGGCCAATAGCCTAAATAAAGAAACACCTCGATTGGTTTCACATTGCATGGGTTATTGGCTGAAGTAATTTATTGCTTAGTTAACTTTAAATGCTAGTTTTAA